CAATTAAGTGATCCAGAACAGGGAAGCGACAGTTGGGTTCACCAGAAATGGGAGCAGCACAAAAAAAACTCAAACATTAACAAAAAGCTACTTTCAGCTGCTCCTTTATTCACAAGAAGTTTCTACAGCAGGTAACTCTGCATATTTGGCAGATTGTCACACCAGATGTCCCTCCTAATGCAACCCACAAGGAATCTGTAACTCCATGTAGGATCAAACCAGGAATCTTTTACTTGTTAGGCAAATCTATAAATCCTTATACAATGGAGCAGCTATCAAAGATTTACAAAATACAGTAAGAAAAGTACACACAGTAACGGACTTGAACAGTTTTCACTGTTTTTAACACTCCATTTCACTCTGTATGTTATAGTTTTACTCTTCTCCACAGCTGGCTGACAGACCAACAACAGCACAAGTCAGAGACTTGTCAGAGACAACCCCAGTCTGACAACAGATGCTCTCTTCAGGTAGACGGACCCCACTGCCGCAAGATTGCCAACCACCACTAAACCATGATTTCCCCTTCACTCTGCAAACCCTAATGACTTTACAGGCTCAATCAGTAGTTTCACTTTTTTTGAAGAAAACTGTTTCAAAACAGGAAGATGGCAAAAACATTGACATCACTGTTTGCATAATCTAAGACAGCTTAAGCTTTGCTATCTGTGCAGACCATCATTCCTCCTACCAACTGAAAACTGGTTGGCTACCTTGTCCTCTGTTCAGTCAATATGCCATTAAGTATATTGATTATTAGACCATTAAGCATCCACAGCTTTTCATACTCAACTTTTTAACTGTTAGGCCACCATCTGGGTTCTCATATACTGGTTTTCCCCAAATATGGTATGCAGTGTTTTATGTAGTACAGCTAGCAGAAGTTAGTCTGCTAACTAGTTAGAAACTCATTACAGAATCTGTGGGCAGAAAATCACTGGTGAAATTCTCCCGTGGTTTCAGCTTTGGGTCCTGTAGTGTTCTGGTGCTGTCCAATGCATCACCGTACCTGATCTTAGATTTCCTCCAACAGCTGAGTTCTCCCAGATGCATGTAGCCATGCGTGTTAGTGTGAACACACAAGGTAGCAACAAAGTAGCAAGCGGAAGTGCACAATTTGAGGCAAAACAAGGATGTTGACTTTGAACTATGTCTTCAATGTAAAGGTGAGCATTATATGGTTAATGTGGTTCCCATACTGTATGTGCACACAACCCTACTGAGCATATCACCACTACTAACACCATACCAGGAAGCTGTCTTGTACACACATGCGTGCAGAGTGTGGCTGCAGTCATATCATCCTGTCTACAGCTGTATTTTTCATCCGTGGTTTAATCTCTGCCTCCTCTGATCTATAAAAACCAGTGAAGCCACCAGAGCAGATGGCAGAGATCTGGCTGTACATATTTTATAATCACATTCAGCAGGAATACCGGCCGCCTGACACCAAATAACTTTCTCTGCTCAAATGAAAAGTGTCACATATTTAACACCTAGCCAGACTCTACTTTCACCGCACGTACAGACCGCTAATTAGAGGAATTAAATTCACACATGGCTGAAAGAAAACATGTGCAGCTATAATGAGATCTGACCCATATTCGTTTCAGCATCATTTGGTTGTTTATTCCCACTGGCCACTCCTGGAGATGGCAGCTCTTTTCATTACCTGTATATTAGATGTGAACCAGCCTGCTTGTTTATAGAAGCCACTTAAATCTGACACCGACTCAGACCGAGCCCTTCCAGCTCTTCGCCTTCATTTACTTCTTAAGGTCCGGCAAGCTGTAACGACGTCAGCTTATGTGCTGCAGACGGCCCTCGTTATCTCAGGATGATTTCATTATATTTATTGTAACACATTGCTCCAGTTTGACCTCTGCACGACATGTCCATTAAATTTTAAGCCTGCTCTGGATCACCCCACCTACACCTACCTTAAACGAATGCTTCTGCAGAAAAGGATATTCCATTGCCACAAACCTCTTTTCAATTAAATATATGCTGCTACTGAGTAGTTTATAAATGGCTTGTTACTTATGATCAACTGAGAGATGCCAGCAAAAACAGAGATAACATGCTAATCTATGATATCACATGCCACAATTGCAGTTTGACCTGCAAATGGCATATAGATTCTTTCTGGATATACTTTTCACAGGTATATGCCACACTGTACAACAAACTGGCAACAGTTACCATGGATCTAGCCACTGAGTCTAAAAAGTGAAGCCCATGCATGTGGAAGTGTCTTAAACCTGCAGTTTTTTGTAATGGCTAGCAATGACTGGCTCCCCTGACTTCAAATTATATAGAAGTCTTACTTCTCCCTTGATTTATTACTTTACCAAGTATTTTTCTGATGAGCGTATGTAGAGTCTCAAATGCTAGGTTCGAGTTATATTCAACACATTATATCCATGTTGTAAATTATGGTTGACAAGTTTTTGTACACAGATGTTCTCAGGTTCTACCCTCCACTTTTTGGTAAAAACCAGTATCAAACCAACATGTTACTTCTTGGTGGTTACGTTCATGTTTTATATACAGTTCCTGGTATAACTGCTGTTTCATTTCCTCTGCATGTACTATTTTTGAGTAATTTAATTACAAATATTTGACCCAATTACACTTTGTTCCAGACTGAAGTGAGAAAGACACCACATGCATTATACTGCCAAAAGTTTAGTGTAGTGTGAAGGACTCTTCAACACCAAACTTTCTCATCCACGTCTTTATGCACCTTGCTTTGCAAAAAAGGTTGGGGACCGCTGCCTTAGACTACCCATTCTTTCACAAATGTTTGGATGCCTAGGTGCTTGATATTCATACACCCATTCAAGTGATTGGAACATCTTCATTCAGTAATTTGGATGGATGAGTGAATAATTTTGGCAATATAGTACATGAGAACCATCATTTTAAATCTTTAAATGAACATGAGGATGAGGTTGCCATTTAAAGAGCCTCCTTAAAAAGCCCTTTAATGCCCATTTTCCTTAGCATTTCAATGGGAACCATACAAGACCGTCTCCCACACAGGGCTTAAAGCAGCAGAGCAGTTAAAGTCTATCAAACAGTGTATAAAGCCACCGTTATGTCCTTACAGGCTGCTTAAATCCTCAGTCAGAAGCCTCTGTGTTTGTCCACACTGTCAGCTAGACGGCCTGATGAAAGGCAGTCGCTCTGCGGCCGGTCCGTCTGTGCTTTCAGGTGAGAAGGTTTCATTATATTGATTTCCCAGGAGGCTCACCTCTACTCAGTTCTCTCCTTGTTGGGTCATTTCTGCTCAGTTTCTGAGACCTTCTCATTATTCTGCAGCCCGATACCCAAACGTATGGATCAACGAGTGATTCTGTGCCTCGATACATGCTGTTATTTTTTTCTGTTCTAACACCCACACTATCATTTACTTTCATATTCCTCATTGCTGTAAAACCAGCAGCAGCCATTAATCATGAGTCTGAATGCTCACATTGCTTGTTTCTCATTCAGCCCGCAGGCTGTCGTGGATGCCGCCTTCCCAGAAGGCCGCTGGCTAGCAGCTTGTTACTGTGTCAACTAACTGACCACCCACGACTCTGCCTGCATGCCTTGGCCTGGCCCCAGAGGCTCATGGGTAATCTGTCATCCAGTGTGTGTGTGAGTAAACAGAAGAATATTAATCTTATGTTTGCCAAGACCTCAAATCCACTCCCACTCAGCCTTAATTAACTGTTTCACAGTAATTCAGGGAGCTGATCTAATTATTTCACTATCTGGCCAAAATGGTTATAAAAAAGTTCTTTCCAGGTCTGACGCATTCAGGATTCAAGGAGGAAGTGATGATGCTAAAACCTTAAAGGATTGTTACAAACTGGAATAGTGTGTTATGTTTGGTTGGGGGTTTTTTTTGGCCTAGTCTTGACATCTCTAGTCTGCTTCATGTCTTGACTTTTGAAGCCCTCATTACATTTCAAGAGAAAATGTAATCACTGCTTTCCAGTCTCATGATCTCCGTGTTTACTCCAGCAGCTGTGGGCACAAATGAATCCGTGCAGCTTGAAGTAATCCTCATCAATTCAGCACAGTGTTTTCTCGGCAAGCATACTGCCAGTGCAGAATGTCGTGATTAGGGTGGACTAGACAGATATTAACATGACAATGAGCCAGTTCTTTGGTCAAGAGTAACACTTTATAAGGTGCAGAACAAGTATGCAAACACAGACTTCGAGCTGTTTAAGGCTGATTATAAGCTGAGGCTGCAGTTTGCTACAGCATGAAGTAACAGGAACAGACTGACCCTTTAGCTTTGGTTCACTACAGCTCAAAACACTTTCGCAGAGATCTAGGTCGGGGTGGGCTAGCTGATGAAGCTAAAGTAAGTGAAGGGCCACATTCTGGCAAACTGAATTATAACATGACACACGTAGCGCTCATTTACATTAAACTCCATAAATATATTAGACACAGTGTTAGCATTTGCCAGCTAACAAGGCTTAAGTCTTTCTATTGTGGTTATGTTTTGACAAAAACACTGCGGTCTAGTTTAATACAGTATTCAACCATAGCAAACAATTTTACTTGATGATACTTCATGATAGATGGTAACTCTGGATCTGTATCCTACCATAACTCCATGTCATGGCCCAGCGGCCCAAGGAAAATGAGATGAACACAAGCGCAGGATCCAAACCGGAAGAGAAGCAGTAAGTGAACAAAAGTTTATTTTCCCACATAGTAAACACAAAATCCAAATTTAAACTATGACACTATATTAGTTGGCGTGCTATCAAAGCTAAGGCATTTAACTGAAAACTAGGCAGCTCTAGAATACAGTGGTACAGCTGTGACTGTGGGGAGGTGGCAGCTGGGCCGGGGGGAAACTATGACCACTGAAATGAGAGGAGAGCACAGTCAGAGTGGTCCAGCGGTGAATCTGAGTTCCCAAAGTCAAACTGAGTCACCTTATTTGGTTACAGGTGGAGGGAAGCAAGAGGGGACGGGTGGAGCCGAGGTTCAGGTGAGCACGTGGCAGAGGCGTAGGGAGGCAAGCAGGTGAGTGACAAAAGAATTGGCAATGGTTTACCAGCAGCAGGTGACCGAGGTCCAGGGAAGCGGGGATGACTGAGGCAAGAACCCCACTCCAGGAGCCGACTATGAAGACAGGAAAAAACAGGTAAATTTTCACACAAGATCTAGACTGAGCGATACGGCTAACATGGGTTAGCAGATGCTCAGGCAATGACTAATTGAGCGTGCAGGTCTTATATGCTGCTGCAATAATTGCCAACAGGTGGCCGGCCAGAGAGGAGCAACCAGTCTCCACCCAGAGGAGGAGGGCTGCTGGATAACTACAGACACTCCACATCTGGGAGAAGAGCAGAATGGAGATGGAGAAAAATGTGAATAACTGCTGATGTTTGTCAGATACAATGATTATTTTCTTTGTTCCCTGATTGCTGAGATTTGGGAGAACAGTTTCATAAAAACTAAAATTACAGTTAGAGTGAAGAATTGGTTTGGAGTCATTACTGATGACACAGGTTTTACATTGGCATTTTTAGATAGTTGCCTGTGCAGACCCTACCCAGAGAGGTATGCAACCCATGTGTAGATGTATGTGGATGATGCTCTTCTTAGACTGAATCCTGACTGGAAGCGTAGGATAGCAAAGGGAGCGAAAAAGCATCAAATTAAAAAGGTGGGGACACCAAAAGCACAGGCAGCAGCAAAGTGGACAGTGTCCATTGTTTTTAATGCTTGGTTCCATTTCAGCTCAGTGCATTTCTGCACTTCTCCACAGCTGCTTCAAGGTCACTAGCAAGAGTAGCCCACATACTGGTGTTTGTGACAGTAAAGCCTGGTGGGAATAAACAACTACAACATGTAGACCACGGCTCACAGTGCTGTCCATAGGCTCTACATAGGACCAACTCACAACTATGTTTAAGCCGAGACCTCAGAGGGTTGGCAAAAGTGATTTTGGTGCTTATTTAATGGAGATGGAAGTCTGACTGTGAACTATAGCATCTATGGGCTTTTATAAATGTGGTGCTTTTTTCCTCTTAAAAGAAAATATCACTCAGTAACTTATTTATATGTAACTGGTAAAAGAATAAGAGTAAATGTCCCCAAACCTGATTTTTGGGGGGCAGGGCTGTCTGCAGGTAGAAAACTTATCAAATGGGCTGATTTTATTACCTTTGAACAAAGTCGGTCCAGCATTTCCAGCAGTTAGACTCAGATAATCAGCAGTTTGATCTTTTTTTTCTCTCTCTGTAAGAAATTGAAGCATATTTCCTAAATCTCATCATCTCCAGATGTAACATAATCTTTTTTAATTATCAGTTTTCCTCCCACTCCTTCCCATCAGCCCACTCACTGGCAAATTGGACAGTAAGTCGACATGCATTAAGAAGCGCGTTATTTACATTTGCAGGTTTTGTGATAAATATCTAACTGTATGATTGTGGTAAAGAGTACTCATTGGGCTTGTACGTTATCCTAAATACATTAAATATACAAATGAATATTAATTATTGTACTTTATTTATTATAACTTACTGTGGACCTTCTATAATTTGATTAATATGTTATGGAAAAGTTTTCAGATCTTCAGATGACCTTTCTTTGTACTTCATATATTTTATTTCCCATACAGCACAACCTTATTGTTTTTTAACAGGCAGAACAATGTTCAGACAGGAGCTTTGCAAGTTAAATTCTCTATCTTATATTAGCATAACACATATACAGTACAGCGCTGCTTTGTTCGCCTTAAGCGAAAGCTGATTATAATTAGTGAATTAAATTAGTGTCGACTGCAGAAAAAAGTAAAGGAAGAAGATAAAAAGCTTATTATTTGTTTGAGCGTGGGAGTCTGTGTGTGTGAGTGTTTGACCTTGAGCTTGTGTGAATGTTTATTTCCATCACAGTATATCCATTTTTTAAAGAAAGCCCAACAAAAACTCTGAGACCTGCACGCTGCCTTCTCTAACTTGTGCTCACTGTTCTTCTGCTCAAAGCCGATGGAAAAATCCAAATGGTGAATTCAGAGGGATGCATTGCTAATCTGATTGTTCTGACCTCGCTGCTCTTTGCTAACCTGTAATGGAGGAACGCCACACTCACAAAGACCATGAAAGAGAAATTAGACTCGCAGACTGGAAGCATTTTAGCTCCACAATCTGCATAATGAACTTTAAGCTGCTGATCCCCGCCTGCGTCTTTCTTTCTGCCTCACTTTCTTTCTATTTTTTTTTTTCCTTTTTCTTTCTCTGTCTCCCATAACAGGCTGCAGCCCGCTGATAGCAGACCTTCAGTCAGAGAGGATGGAGCTGTGATGTTTCTATCAGCAGACAAGCGAATGAACGAACTTCCAGCTGAGCCTCTGAAGCCACGTCAGCTGCCTCCCTCCTCTTCCTCCTGACCCTATCCTCTGTCAGCCCTTTCTTTTGTCTCACATTATCCCCCCGTGCCACTCTGACTCTTTTCTTCTCTTTCGTAAATGGTTAAAGTCACTCCTAGAATATGTTATGTTCCTTTATCGTCTCCGTTGACGCTTTCATCACAGCTGTGAAACGTTTTCGTGTGAAAACAGCAGAGTCCCATTAATCATTTCAGTCGACTGTCCAGTTCTGGTATCAGTGTTTGAATGTTTGATGAGGTTTGGACTGCTGGAGGATGTTCGGGTGGAGTCCAGTGGGAGTCGGTCCAGCTGCTGCTGCTGTTCAACAGCCTGAAGCTGTTTGCCTGATCATTAGTTCGCCTGATGTTACTACTCAAACAGACCTTTTTTTAATTTATTTTTTTTACACCGTAGTTTGGAAAGATTAGAGCATATAAATACAGAATATGTATGAGAGACCCGAGGAGCAATGATTTCAACGGATGTAAGCCTTTAGAGTACCTCTGTTATTTTGTTACTTGCATATATGCTTATTTCCTTGAAATCATGCTAAGCTAAACATGGACTCCATCTGAAGTCCACTTGTTGTCATATTGATATGACTAATTACATTTTTCGCAGGCTTTGGTTGCGGCACATAAACAGGAAACTGTGTGGGGAGCAAAGGAAAAGTATTTGCAGAAAAGTGCCACACATCAGTTCAAATTGTGTTCAAACGGGGAACGTAAAATGTCATATACATTATTTTACAAAAATACACATTACATGTACTTTAGTCAAATCTTTCAGAGATGTCTGCTGGCTACCTGAAACATATTTAATAATTCTATAGGATGCTAAAAGTGACAACATAGAGGAAACTTAATGTCTTGTTTTGACAAATTGCAGTAATATATTCTCTTTTTTTAAAAATAAATAAAAAAGGTGATAGCAGGGCTTACATTTCTCTGGCACTGTGATGAAATCTGATGGCAGATAGTTATGTGCATAGCAAATAGTCTTCCTCATTTTTTTTCTAGCTGTCACATAACTAGAAAATGGCTGCAAATGCATGTATTAAGCCAGACCTCCCTTATGTCTTAGTCTGATGTATTTTAGACTAACATACAAAGCATATGTGAAAAATTTTATCTTTAAGATCCACTTAGTGAAATAAACTTGTATTACTAAAAATAAAAGCCCGTGTTGTATATTAACAACATTGTTTAAATGTTGTTAAGAAGCATAATAAACCTGCAAGCTTTTTAAATACGTGCTGTAATACATATGCAGTTATGCACACCATGTCTTATTTTTGTGACAGCGATTTAATTTAATGGGTGAACCCTCAAAAGGGTTAAGATGGTAGAAACATGGGCAAGAAGAAGTGCTGTGTGAGAAGGTGGACGTCACAGATGAAGGAAGAAAGAAAATTCACAGAGGAGGAGGGAGCTGTCAAGGTGAAGGAGGGTAACAGTTTTCCTTTTTCCTTTGTGCAGCTCCCCAGAGGCTCTCCATTTATCTCTCTTCCTCTCACCTGCTTCTCTCTGCCTCAAATAAGAGATTTCCTGGTGGTGTTTTTACCTCTCTGTTCTGTCCCAGTCATTTGGTATTTATTCGGAATCCAAAGAAACACTCGACAACTTTCTTTTTACCGTAAGTCTGGTTGTGTTACTGTGTCTGTTCTGTTAATGCTTCCTGCAGGCGTCTCTTTCTACTTTCCCAACTGTCCCTTCTGTTCTTTTCTGGCTCTTTTTCCTTTTTGTTGTCATCTCCTGCTTACATGTGATCCAACTACAGACACTGATCTCCAGAATTTAGTAAGATTACACCCGGAGCCAGATCCTTCCTTTCCTTTGTGCTTCTCTTTTTTTCTGCTGCACTCCTGCTGTGGATACGAAGTCAGAGGCAGGCTGTCCTCAGTGGAGCAAACCTCCCCAGGTGTTATGACTCACCTGTCTGACACGACAGACACAAAAAGTTTTCAGACTCCACTAGCATGACCTTGTTATATCTGTTACAGCTTTACCTCAGTGCCCTCTATATTTCTATGTATATTATGTTGGGAAATACTGCAGCAGAAATCGTTTTAATCAGCCGTTTGTGGCAAAAGCTGCTTTGCATTTTCAATCCCTCTTTGCACAATCACATCCTAAAAAAAGTACAGTAGTGTTCTTAGTTTGTTGTGCAAAAGTTTGACTGCTTTAAAAACCAGTTATACATTTTATCTTTTTAAAAAATATTTTTATCGAAATCACATACGTATGATTTCTGGTTATTTTGTGTCTTCAGCTGTGAAACTTGCATGTATTTTGTATCATTTCGTGTCTGCTGCATTCCAGATTTTGTCCCATAATGGGTTTCACTTCACTTTGCATCTTCTTTTGGTTTTTATAGTATGCGTGACTTTTGTGGAAGTGTAAGTTTGCTTCAGCTGCTCATTTTCAGGCCCCTCTCCTCTACCAGGTTCCCCCTCTCAGCATCTGTCAGAGCTTATGCTTTAGATTTATGTAGTACAGCTGTGAGCTCTTTTAATGATGATCTCTAATTACTTTTACTGGTGAACTTCAGACTTCACTGACTTCAGATTTTCTACTACTTACCAACCTGTGTAGAGCTTTAGCACCTTTAAATTAACTGTTTTCATATCAACATTTCAGCTTGCCGCCCACCATTCTCTTTGTTGTCACGAAAGCTTCAGAAACACTGCACACAACCTGCTGAGCATCAAACGGCAGAGAGACAACAAGAGTAAACAACTGGGTGGAGATTAGAACAACTAGAGGAGATGTTGATAAAAACTAACACGTTCGTCAAAGTAGCTAAAAACTAAATAAATGTGGGTGTTACTCCCAAGGTACAGCAAAGGTACCCAGTACATTCAAACAGTCTTTAACAAGCAAGGTTCTGTTTTCACTTTAAGAACATTTGCATCCTCCATGACCTGCATGCACTTAAAATGAGCACATAAGTAGAGAGAAACATGTGTTTTATGGCTTTCTGGGTTTAATTTTGTGTGTTTTTTGCTGTTACACAACTACCTTTTGAACAATAAACTTTCTCCAGGACTTGAACAGATCCCTAATGCAGACTGAGTTCAGTGGCTGGTGCTTCTGGCACTCAGAGAAGACTTCCTCGCTTCTGTAACGGAGATGTTGCAGTATGCTTAAAATGAGATAAACATTTAGCCATGATGTCCCCTAACTGCTCCTGTTGTGTTTGCCAAATGGAATCAGATGAGGAAACTTGTGTTTTCTAAATGCCACTAAGCTAAACGTCTCATCAGAGAACAATAAAACAGATTTCATATGCAAATAACACAGACACACGCTGCTAAAGCAAATTAACACTTCCACAAGGGTCATTTGTGCCTGGTCTCATCTCAGCTTAGGAACTTCAGATAAACTCTGCTGGTGATTTTGATGATTGTTACATCTTTTGTGGGATTTCTTGTGTGTGGAAAATACTAGTGAGTAAATGCAAAAATGCTTTAGGGTTGAAAATACACCACATTAGAGGATTCAAACAGCCCTTCTGGAAATGCAAACACAAACACAATCTGATTTGGACAGTCTGGGGACACGTGAATCACAACAATGAAGCATCCTGCAGAGACTCCTTTCTGCATGACCTGCACTGACAAGGGTCAAAGGATGAGATTGTTTTGTGGTCACGCAGAGAAGAAAATAAAAACAGAGTTTGGAAACTTGAGGAGCCGCTCCACAGCCAACTGTCAGACACTAATTGGTTTTGCAGCCTGAGGTGGAAAACAGAACCACCGGTCCACTGGATCCACGGTTGCAGCAGCAGGTGATTGACAGTTTAGGGGTAAGAGCCGGAGCTCAAAGTGAAGCAGGAAGCCGGGCAAAGTGTTAGAAGGGTGGCAGGGTGTGTGCAGGGGTCTGAGGCTAGCGGTGTAGGATGATGCTGAGGATTTGATTAAGGCTGGAAGTGGGCCAGAGGGCTGAGTCTGGAGCCATTACAGGGCTATGATGAGCAATGGAGTCAAAACCTCATTCTATCAGTTCAGAAAAATTTGTATTTAAAGTGGACGTATTTTCATTATTTTCATAGTGTTACTGTGGTGGATGCTCAAATTATGAGGTCCACACAAGTACAATTAAGCAGTTTCTGTCATGTTTTTTCTGCTCCTAGCTTTGCATGATGTCAGAGCTCTGCATGAATACAATTTTAGGCACGCTTCTCTTGCTGTGAGCATTTTAGCCCCACCCACCTGCAGTTGATACCCTCAGTCTGAACGCTACCCCAACAGAGGTCGATTATCTTGTTAATAATTTTACCTCCTGACCACGTACGACTCTGGATACTGTAGCTCCTGTGAAAACTAAGGTCTCTAATCAGAAGTACCTGACTCCGTGGTATAATTCTCAAACACGTAGCCTAAAGCAGATGACTCGTAAGCTGGAGAGGAAATGGCGTGTCACAAATTTAGAGGATCATCATTCAGCCTGGAGAAATAGTTTGCTGCTTTATAAGAAAGCCCTCCGTAAAGCCAGAACATCTTACTATTCATCACTGATTGAAGAAAAGAAGAACAACCCCAGGTTTCTCTTCAGCACTGTAGCCAGGCTGACAAAAAGTCAGAGCTCTTTTGAGCCAACCATCCCTTTAACGTTAACTAGTAATGACTTCATGAACTTCTTCACAAATAACATTTTTATCATTAGAAAAAAAATTACCAAAAATCATCCCACAGATGTAATATTATCTACAGCTACTCTTAGTACCATTGATGTTAAGTTAGACTCTTTTTCTCCAATTGATCTTTCTCTCAACCTATCTCTAATAATCGGCTATGTACCACAGGCCTTCAAGCTGGCTGTAGTTAAACCTTTACTCAAAAAGCCATCTCTAGACCCAGCAGTCTTAGCTAATTATAGGCCAATCTCCAACCTTCCTTTCATATCAAACATCCTTGAAAGAGTAGTTGTCAAACAGCTAACAGATCAGCTGCAGAGGAATGGTTTATTTGAAGAGTTTCAGTCAGGTTTCAGAGCTCATCACAGCACAGAAACAGCTTTAGTGAAGGTTACAAATGATCTTCTTATGGCCTCTGACAGTGGACTCATCTCTGTGCTTGTCCTGCTAGA